CCCACGCCCACGCCCACGCCCACGCACACGCACACGCACACGCAGACGCACACGCACACGCACAAACGCCCATCTCCATACTTGTGGCATGGCGCATTTTTTTCTCAAGTGATGGGTGTGGCATCAGATACCGCAACGTGGTACAGATTGAAGGCAGGCAAGGCCGCTCCAGATCAGGAAGAAGCCGCCGGCAAAGACACCTACTCCGAAACTTGATGAGGAGGTTGGAGCGCCAGATGATCTCAGACTATACGGGCATAGTATTCATAGCATCATCCTTCCTTATCCTATCATACATATCAAAGTACTGTATATTTGATATATCATGTTATGACATGACATGAACTATTTAAAAACAAGTTGAGCTTGGACCTGTGCGGCATGAACCGACGGAGAACAATGCATGTTCACAGGAGATGCCTTGCCACTAATCATTTGATCGAAGATGCATGTCGACATACATCATGTAGACATGTTTGTTTTTCAAATAGGGGTAGCCCCAAACCCAGTGGTTCAACATTGGAGTAGCCCCATTTTTTTGGACAAAGCGCGGAGGCCAAAAAGGTGGCCCCTGCGGCGCCTGCGGCTCCAGCTCCGGAAACGGCCAAGGCGCCTGAGATCTCTGCTGAACAGCAGCAGAAGACCCTCGGAGGCACTGCGTGCGCAGCAGGTGATGCCAAACTGATGCCTCAAGGGCCTCAAGGGCCTCAAGGGTCCAACTGGATGCTGAAAATGATGAAACTATTAGTCTTGTGCCCTGGGGTGCCTTGGGTATGTTAGCTGCTAAGGATAGATGCAACCAGAGAGTCTGGAGACATAAAGTTTGAATTTGAAGTCGGGCTCTGAGACTCTAGTCACCTAGTTGCATCATGTCCTGAACCCAATAAGGTTTGCACGCTGCCAAGGTCAAATGCGTTTCAGCTCGAGGATTGAGAGATGCAGACTGGTTAGAAGGAACTTCTGATCCATATTGCCTCTGCGAAGCAGTGGGCAAGGCACATCGGCACGTCCTGCAGTGTGGCTTTTTTAGGGTGCTTGCGGACTAGACGAGGCTGCAATGCCCATGTGACAGGACTAGGGTGACAGAGAACTGCCACGTACATCAAGAAAAGGGGTTGATGATAACCAATTCATTCTCTATTTGCAAGAAATCTGAAGAATCCTTCGAAATTTGCAGCACCCAACATCCTGCGGAGCTTAAGTTGCGTTCATTGGGTGCTCAGCCAGCAGAAGCGGCGCCAGGTGAAGTCAAAGTTCAAGACGAAGACAGTGAGCAACAAAGAGAACCCAGTGGGGCTCTCAATGAATCAAACTCGTGGAGAGAAACAAGGTTAGTGAAACCTTCAATGTGGGCAAACCAGGCAAACAAAAGCCTGCAAGGTTTGGAACCAGGCAGCTAAGATGCAGCTTTGTCGCGGGGACAAGCTCAAGTTCTCAATTTTCGACCAGGCGTGGGAATGTGTGTAGGTTGCTTCGTCAGGGTTTCGTAGTCCTTACAGAACATCTGGCGAATTGCATGCCTTGCCTGGACCTTCGGCAGTTTTTGGCACCTAGACTTGGAGAAATGTCAGCGTGTCAATCGTAATGAGTCGGTTGAAGCTCGCTTGTGATTGCACTGCCATGCGGTGAATTTTGGCTCAAAGTGGGGCGAAGTAATAAAGATCTTTCAGCGCACATTGCGGCAGCTGAGTGCCGGAAAATGAGGCTTATCTCAGCAGCCTTTTGGATTTTGTGGGTCAAACTGGGAGGTTTGTGTCCAGTGTCGATTGGACTTTGGGGTTCCTAGGCCATGCGATAGCACTTTGGCAAGTCAACCTTTACATCCCAGTAACCCCAATGAATCCAATACCTTGGCATAGCATACCGTCCCTTCCTGCTGTCAGGGAGCTGTGGAGATGCTTCCTCCTGCTCTATGGTGCCCTTGGAGAAGACAGTTGTCCTGCAGGTGATGAAGGCCAGCCGCATTAGCCGCATTAGCCGCATTAGCCGCATCAATCATTTTTTTCACTCTGTGCGCGTGGGCATAGCGTGTAAATGCATTGAGATAGAGAGATAGATTAGATTAGATTAGATTAGATTAGATTAGATTAGATTAGGTTCTATAGCACAGTACAGTACAGTAAAGTAAAGTATAGGATGGAAAGATAAGATAGGATGGATAGATAGTGTAGGAAGGATAGATAATGTAGGAAGGATAGATAGTATACCTAGGATAGATAGATAGATAGCTTAGATTAGATTAGATTAGATTAGGGTAGAGTAGAGTAGAGTAGATTAGATTAGATTAGATTAAATAGATAGATAGATAGAGGGATAGAGAGATAGAGAGATAGAGAGAGAGAGAGAGAGATAGATAGATAGATAGATAGATAGATAGATAGATAGATAGATAGATGACAGCAGCTGTGAAGAAGAAGCTGAATGTCGCCGCTCTCAAGCTGTGAATGAATCTAGCAGCTGTGCTAGGGCAATTCGGTGGTCTGGCCCGTGAAGCCCTTACCACAAATTTCTGGGGTCTCGGCTGTCCACCACACTGCCATCCTTCGTCCATCTCTAGCTTAGCTGCCTGCTATCTGTCTGGACTTTTGACAGGCCTCCTGATCTCCCTTGCTGCTTTGCTCTGGCTTCTGGTCCATCCAGATCATCCATCTGCCCCTTCCCGTATCCGTGTTTCTGTTCAGCAATCAGCTGTGTCTTTGAGGAGGAGGTTGGAGGGCTACCGTCCCTCCTTGCATGAATAGCCAAGATTCCTCTATCGACAGGCTTACAAAGGCACTGGATAGATTGTCCCTGGCCATTGAAGGTCGGCAGAAGGACGGGGCAGAGGAGTGGGAGGAGGTCACCAGAAGCTGCTAGCGAGCAGCCACAGGGGCCAAGGTCCAGTTCAGACCCTTTTCAGGGCATTGCCTACGGTGATTACAATAATTTTGCTTCTTCCTTGCCCTGAGCGCATCATTGGCAAGTGCGCGGTGCTCAGTCTTTTTCCTCTGAATATCGAGCCAAGCGAGCTTGGGAGGCTGGGCAGTGGGCCAGTTTGGTCCTACGAGGAAAGCTTTCAAAACCACGCGAGACTTTGCCCATTGATTTGTGGCCAGCTACCTACGTTATCTTGGCTGCCCCAGGCTTGTCTTCGCCCACAAGGGTATCAAGTGCATCTCAGCAGGGGCAGGTGTGCCCTTTCCTCCACAGCATTCATGGAACTAGCAGATGGTTCAATGGTGGAGTCAGAGGAGTACCAGCATGTGATCCTTCAGTTCCCTCCTGGAGAGCAGGATCTTCAGCATCAGTTGCAAGGCTATGTGCTTATGAGGCGCCCGGGCGGCATTTTGCTTGCAATCCCCGGTGGGATCATCGAGGAAGAGGCGTTAGTGGGTTTCTGGTTTCAGAAGAAAAAGGAGTAGAAGCGTTGATTGGCCCATACGAGGTTTTCCAGGTTCCTTTTTGGATGACTGGAGATGCAGGCCAATTGGTGGTGTCAGAAGAGCTTGGAAAGGTGCTTGTTTTAGATTTGAGCTTGCCCGGAGCGTCAAGCATTATTTCTCCCTTTACAGAAAGCGCCGATATGGACCTTGTCAACACTTTTGTGCATATAGACCTTCAAGCTCACCCAGATTTTCCAGACTTGATGTTACAAGTGAAGGCTTGGCTGAACGAGGAGATCGGCGATCGAGTAGCTTTCTACTCAGCAGAAGAGGGCACTCCACAGTCTGCCCCGCCTCAAGGGGCAAAAGCCAAGGCAGCTGCGCCTGGTGGCACTACAGGTCCGGGAAGAGTTCCTGGAATCCAGGTGGGGCAAAAGCTGCCGGCAAGAGACACACGGTAGCCGACGGTAGCAACTTTGGCCAGTCAGCTGTCAGTTCACTACCTATGATCACAGAGCAGTTGACGAACATCACTATGCGTCAGGATGCCATGGAGAAGAAGGTGGGGATTGGCAGGCCCGAGCCTGTTGGGTTCCAGATGCCTTCTGCTGGACGAGCTGCGGTGCCAGTTTCTTCCTTGCTCAGCTCTGCCGGCCCGAAACCTTCAGTGTCAAACCTGGGGGCTCTAGTGGGCCCTCCGCAGGCACCATGTATGAAGCCGCCAGCAGTGGAGCCAGACAAGGAGGAGGAGGCCGACAAGGAGGCGCTGTCTTCTCCAGTGACAAGAGTCCCATTGGAGCAGAGTCGGGCTTTGTCAAGGCTGGTGGCCCATTTCCATGCAGTGGGAAGCGATCCTATGTCCGACCTTTCCTCGGCCCGCGAAAAGCTGCAGCGCGAACTTGCGCAGGGGTCTGGCCAATTCTTCCTGCAGAGGCGAATGTCTCCCACTTCCAGGCCAGCAACGTCTCCTTCCGAGATTGGGGGTATCTCACTTCTAGCCTACCTTGAGCGCTACGGGGGGCCACGGGCAAAACAGAGAGCTTGGCATGATACAATGGTCGCTAGGTCACGTCTTCGATGCTATGGCCAAGGAAGAATGGGCCTTGCCAAAGACCATTTGGCCTTGACCACTGTGATGGTGGAGCAAGCATCCCTGGACAACAACAAGTGGAGTTTGGCCTGGCTTCTTCGCCTCCTAGACGATGCTCCTCAGAATCTTTGGATTTCGAGGGGCCAAACAGCTGCGGGCTGCAGGCGTCCATTTGCTCCTCTTTGTGCTCAGACATGGACGACCACAGCCGTGGCGTATCTCACAGAGGCGGACCTGCTGACGTCAAAGAAGAGCGAAGTACTGTCCGGGGGCAAAGGCGCAACCAGCTCAGACAGCCCTGCGCCAAAACCAAACCCAAAGCGAAAGCCGGGGAGAGGAAAGGGAAACCCTCCGCAGCAGTCTGGCCTAGCGGAGGAGACAGGATGAGCCCCTTTCATGCTGGTGGTGCGGTTGATGGCATGGCAAGTGGTTGTTTTGGTGGTGGGAGTGAAGCTATGAGTAGTCTTGGCACAGACTGCGGAGATGCCGGTTCATTTGTTTCAACCGGCAAAAGAAACGCACAGTTTCTGGGAGGTCAGGCAGCAATGCCGGGCCATCTGGAAGATGAATTCATCAAGAAGGAGCTTGACACAGTTCCAAGTGGGAGCAAGATTTCCACTTTCAGCTTTTCCTTCTTTACTTGGTGCATGGCGATCACTAGGTGGACTTTGGCAACCCGTACTGGCTTTAGCCGCTACCGGGGATCAACACTTTGCCTCCGAAGGGATGGGCCTCCGGCCCCCTCTACCGCTTTGCTTCCCTTGCCTTTGCCGGCGTTTTGGCTCTATGCAGGGAGCCCGAACAATCCAAAGAGAAGAAAGGACAAGGAAGGCGTGTTACTCGTGCTCTTCATGTGGTGATTGGCGCCGTGAATTACATGTACTATGCAAGGTCTTGTCCGCCTTTGGAGTTGATTCGGAGGCAGCCCAATCAGCGTCAGAGTGAGGCTATCCAACGATTGCGGCTGTTTGTCAAAGCGTGCGACCATGGACAGTTGATCGAAGTGGCTGCCAGTGGTGGAAAGAATTTGCAGCTGATGGCCCGTCTACAAGAACTGGCATCGGCCGCAGAAGCCCTAGGGATTTCTCAAAGTCCCTATGTCGAGGACATCAGGCCTCAGAAAGTATGTCCTGACAACACTGTGCATCCTCAACTTTCTCCTTTCTCAAACCTGAAGCCAGAGAGGCTCAAACTTACTGGAACAGGAGGATGGGACACATCTAGGTATCTCGAACCTGAACTCTATATGGCATTCCAGGAGCCTCAGTTCATTGAGATTGATCGCCCTATTTTCAACCGGGGCATTCCCAACTTTGAGGTGGATAGCCCTGATGCGGTTTTTGAGCTCTTCAAGAAGTGGGATGGTCTGGGCCTTCTTGCACTGCACCCTGTGGAGCAGTAACCTCTGGCAGAGTCAAGATTTTCAACAGTTTCAAATCACTGCCGTGGGACATGCAAATTGGGGACAGGCGTGAGCGACATGCTTGGGAGGCACGCATTCCCGGGCCATCAGCTCACTTGCCTTTGGGGACAATGATTGGCTGCCTTGCTGTGCCAGCTGGAATGGGATTGAAGACATGCGTGACAGATAGGTCTGACTATTATCACCAGCTTGCAGTTAGTGAGGAGCGCAGCAGATCAAACATTGTTTGGCCACCCATGCCCTTGCAGAAGTTTCTTGAAACCAAGGCATATCATGATCATGACTATGTTGCGAGGTCGAAGAGAAGGCGGGTTGTGGATCGCACAGTGCATGGTGATCAGCTGCTTGGTCACAGACAGGCAGATTTGATTTTGGAGCCAGAAACCCCGGTGTATGGTGCGTTCAAAGCTGTTTTGCAGGGAGACCACCTTGGCGTTGAGTTTAGGATTTCTGCTCATGTTGGGTTTTTGCGCTCTCATGGACTTTTGAAGGAACAAGGCCGGCTTGTGTCAAATGTTCTGGTACCACCCGCTCCGGTGTATGAGGGGCTTGTCATTGATGACTATTTCTGTCTGGCTCCAGTACCGGTGCAGGAGTGCAAAGAGGGCTCCAAGCGTAGTTTGGCCTATCAGCATTTCTGCATTGCAAAGAAGAAGTATGCCCAAGCAGGTCTCACTGGCTCAGACCCAAAAGATATTGTGGATGAGGTTGTTGCTACGGTTGTGGGGGCCCAGGTCGACTCCCGCTACCAGAATTGAATGTTAGCCAGGGAATTCTTCCAGTAGGAGCACCAGCTGGTAAGAGGCTATCTTTGGCTTGGATTTCAGCGATGGCAGCACGGCATCCTTGCACTACTGATGCCCTTCATTCATCTCTGCTGGGGGCACTAGTTTCAGCAATGTGCTTCCGAAAAGGTTCTATTCAAGGTTGTGCCGGCGAGCGAAGTGAACGTCGAACAGCCCATCCTGCGTCCATTGAAGAGGACTGTTGCAGAGGAGTTGATTTTGTCAGCAGTGCTTTTGCCAGTTTTGGTTAGTGATGCAAAGCTGCCTTTTCATCCCTGGATTTTTGCCACGGATGCATCAAACCACAAAGGTGCAGTGTGCAGATCTCATCAGCGACCCTCAGTCGTTGAGCCCCTGTGGCAGTCTGGTGATTTCAAAGGTGCCAGTGCGGCGCTGGAGACATGGGAGCATCAACTTCTTCATGAGTGTTTGGGAGAGAGAGGTGAAGGTATTTGCGATGGTGAAGCTAGGGCAGAAGTTTTAGAACACGATGGTCAAGGAGGTCAGGTACAAAAGCCGCTGGCTCAATACTTTGACTTCATTGAGGTTTGTGGCGGCAGTGGAGTTTTGTCAGAAGCAATGCACGAGCTTGGTTACGTTGTTGGGCCTATAGTGGACTTGACTTATTCCACCCAGTATGACCTGGTCAAGTGGGAGGTTGTTGAATGGCTCGTGGATGGTCCAGAACCATCGTGTTGCTGCGATTGCTCTCGTGCCACCCTGCACCACTTTCTCTCCAGCAGCTTACCCTCCTGTCCGATCCTACAAAGTACCCAGAGGCTTCAATCAGAAACTGTCAAAAGTTTGGTTTGGAAGCAAGTTGGTTTTTGCATGCTTGATTTTGATTTTTGTCGCAGCTCGTGCAGAAGTGATGGGGTGGCTTGAAACCCCGCGACGTTCAAAGATGGCATGGCTGAGCTTTTGGCAGTTCCTTTTGAGCTTACCAAATGTAGAAGAGACATACACAGCCTCTTGGTCCTATGGATCTCCTCACCAGAAAGAGTTTCGCTTCTTGACATGCAACATGCGGCCAGCCAGCGTTTGCAAGCCCTGCAGCAGAGATCATGAACAGGTGCGTATCCAGGGGAAGTATACCAATGGCTCAGCAGTTTACTGTCCTGGGCTTGTGGAGGCTCTTGCAAATATGTCTTCCAGACACCTTGATGCAAGAAGACAAATTCTCCAGAATCAGATCATTAATGTAGCAGGGCTTGAGTCAGCATTTGTGAATGAGGTTGTGAAGCGTTCTGTTTGGGAGGTTTGCTCAGCATGGAAGTGGCGCGGAAAGTCTCATATCAATGTGCTCGAACTTGCAAGTGCTTTTCAGGCAATCAAACGGGCAACATATGATGGAGGGGGTAGAGTTGTCTTGCTGCTGGATCATCAGCAGCAGCCCTACTCCCCCTTCTCCGGAAGATCTTTGCGGTTGGTTTGGCATTTGGAGTTGCTGTATCGGTGCATTTTCTTCCAACTCGTTTGAATGTTGCTGATGACCCAACAAGAGATGTTTTGCTTCGTGACATGTGCAGCGGAAGAAAGTGGTTTGAAGGTTTGGACCAAGAAGGAGTTTTTAGAGCTGCTGATTTGCCAAGGGCCAAAAGATGGGCCAGCAATTGGATTTGTCTCTTCCTTGGACTTTCCTTCAGAAATGGCTTTGGACTTGGAGCCATATCCCTTCCGGTCAGCCGAGCCCTTTCCTCCAGACCCTTTTCCAATCTCCACCAGCATCTCATGGACTTTGATGCATCTCTTGGCTTCCCGGGTGAGGGCCCTAGGTTTTTCCCCGTAGGCCCGTAGGAGTAGCTTAGATATTGCTGGTAGTGATTGGGTTTTGCCATGTCGTGCCATGCCATGGAATGCGCCCGCGCAATAGAGATGACGAAGCGCGTGCGGAGAGAAGGATTGGACGCGTGCTTGCGGAAGGCAGACCTGTCGAGACTGTGACCAAATCCATGCGAGAGAAGCTGCTTGAGGCTTTTGATGGGTGGTTGCGACAGAGGGATCTGCTTTTGTTTGATTTATTCGAAGCTTCATACAGGGACCCTGAGCGTCTTGTCGAGCAACTGGTCCAGTATGGGCGGGAGCAATACCGCGCTGGCAGGCCATACAACCACTATGCTGAAACTGTGAATGCCATCTCAGCAGTGAAGCCGACGATTCGTAGGCTGTTGACAGGTGCCTGGGACCTAGCTTTCAGCTGGCAGCGAGAAGAGCTTGGACACCACCACACGGCCTGCCCGTACCAAATCATGCTGGCGCTGTGTGCCTGTAGTATTTTGTCTGGTTGGCCCTGGGTAGCGGGCTCAATTGCCCTCTCCTGGGGAGCTGTCTGCAGAATTGGAGAAGTACTAGCAGCATGCCGTGATGATTTGGTTATCCTCAGCCGGGCACACCAGCAGCTCGGTCTTCCTGAAGGTAAAGGAACCAAAGACAAGGTACAAGGCGGCGCGTCATCAGATGTCTAGGCTGGATGCAATTGACCTTGTGCAGCTAGTTGCTTTGGCTTTTGGACAAAAGGCGCCTTCAGAGAAACTGTGGCCGTTTTCAGGCCAGTTGCTGAGAACGAGATTTAAGCAGTTGCTGTCAGCAATTGGTCTGCCAGCTCACACATTTCATGGCGAGAAGTGTCTAGATCTGGGTAGCCTAAGGGCTGGAGGTGCAACCTTTTTGCTCATGTTGACAGAAGACCCAGAGCTTGTCAAAAGAAGAGGCCGTTGGATATGGATGTGTACATCCAGGAGTTGAATGCAAAGATTCCACCGGAAAAATGGTTTTGTATTTTGACAACAAAGGGAACAGATGGGAGAAATGGGATGAAAAGTCCTGGGGCATGCAGCAAACATAGGCGCTGCACAGAGAGAGAAGCAAACCAGAATGAGGCAAATGAAAAATGATGCTGAGCAGCTGACAAACAGCTGTGAAGAAGAAGCTGAATGTCGCCGCTCTCAAGCTGCCCACCCTGCAAAGGGCCCACCCTGGGATGAAAAGTCCTGGGGCATGCAGCAAACATAGGCGCTGCACAGAGAGAGAAGCAAACCAGAATGAGGCAAATGAAAAATGATGCTAAGCTGCTAGATAGATAGATAGATAGATAGATAGACAGATGGATGGATAGATAGACAGGCAGAGAGACAGAGAGATAGAGAGATAGAGAGACAGACAGATAGAGAGACAGACAGACAGACAGACAGACAGACAGGCAGGCAGGCAGGCAGGCAGGCAGGCAGACAGACAGATAGACAGACAGATAGAGAGAGAGAGAGAGAGATAGATAGATAGATAGGTAGGTAGATAGATAGATAGATAGATGCATATTTGTATGAGATACATACCGTTCACACACTGAACAATCACCGCGGACGCCTGGCAATTGTGCTGAGCTGCGCAGGTATCCCATGCCGAGCTGCTGAGGGGGAGGACATTCCCAAGCATCACCTGCCAGTCATCAGGACGTCTTCTCCCACGTTTCAACCGACCGCACCGGCTACGACCCCACAAGTGGATTTGATTGCCCAGGCCCAGCTTGTTGTGAGAGGTTGGAGCAGGTGCACATGCACACACTGATATGCAGATGCACATGGACACAGCATGCTTCTTTTTGTGTTTCCTTTTTGTTATACACTCTACACTTCGGCTTTATTCAAAGCCAGCCGGACTTTGCCGCAATCGCGTCAGGAAATGGATGAGTTGAAAACCCTCCTGAAGCTTGGGGAAGAACGCATGAATTTCCTCAAGGAGTTGCAAGGAGATGTGCCGCTGCCCTCCAGGGTTTGGCACCATGTGAAGCTGAGTCTCAGAACTGAAGAATTGCGCATTATTTGAGGGAGTTCCATTTCAGAAAAACAATTACAGTATGTAATGTAAACAAGCACAACATTCCCAGCCCAAAACGCAACATAAGAACGGATAGCATGGTGGTTTCACAGTCTTTCATCATACAGTGACGTATCATGACGTATGATGCAGCGTTTTGCCTTGAAGGAGCTGCCAGCGATGGGAAGGGCCTTCCCTTGACAGCGGCTCAAGTGCAGGCTCTCACCGAACGGCTTCCTTTACTTTCGGAGGTTGCAAGCCAAGGGGAACGAGAACCGATAGCAGCAGCAGAAGACTTCTTGGTGACCAAAGCAGCACTTCCTTTGATTGAACCAGTGGTTCATGTGGAGTGGTTGGTCCTTCGCAATCCACGACCCTCAACCTCCTCCTCCAGTGCCTCATCTACGTCACAGTCCCAGACGCCAACATGCATCCTGGCAGCCGCACAAGCAGATGGGAAGATTCACTTGTTCAGCCCCAGCGGGGAGTTGGTTTTTAGCTTCAACACAGGCCATGAACAGCCGATTACTCACATGGCCACTTCCCCCACCCATGAGGAGCACCTCATTGCCACTGGGGATTCGGGTGGTGCCATCCGCTTGCACCGGGTCTCGGTGCGGCAGCGGCGAGTCTCAAAGGAGGAGAAGGCCGCCCGCTCCAACTCGAGTGATAAAATCTCGCAGTACCTGGGGCCTCAGTTGAATGTCACAGTCCAAATGCACAAACAGTTTCAACTTCCAGCCAGAGATGATCTCCCTACTTTGACTGCCCTGGCAATTGCGAACCACAAGAGCAGTCGAGAGATTGTTGCTGGAGATTCGACGGGTCGCATTAGCGTCTTTGCCAAAAACGGCACTTTGAAGGGCCATGTTGATGCAACAGCCATGGAAGGGCCTGGCGTGGAAGGATTACATTCCTATCACAGTCAGGTGCTCTTCAGAGCTGGGATGGAGTGGGGCTACGTGAGCCTGGACAAGGTCGGTGGAGTGGATGTCAAGCACATCGACTGTCCCAATTTCGAGGTGCGGTGGTGGCTTTCGGTGTCTTTTGTTCAAGTTTTGTCAAGTGTCAAGTTGCGCATAATTCTGCAGATCCAGCGCAGCATGTCACTTTGAGCCTGCATTTCTCAGATGCCAGGGAAGAGTCGCGGACATGGCAGTAGACACCCAGCAACTGTCCAAAGTCATGCTTTCGGATGAACGTGGCGCCGTTTCTTATCCAGCACTAGCAAATTGCATCGCGTTACTGCAACTGGAATCTCTTGTGCATTGGCGCTTTCACCAATTTTCGAGTGATATGTCAGAAGATGAGATGTCGGAAGTGCCCTTTCACCTTTCATAATTACTGAGGTTTGGGTGTTCAACGTTGGTTTCCCAGTGGTCAATGCTTTTAACTTGAAAGGATATTCTCTTGTACAGTAGTGGGAGACAAGTTACTGAGCACTGATCCAGGTCAAGAACCGAAAGGATTGCGAGTTAGAGAAGAAATTCCCGTATGCTGCGGAGATGAAGGTCCGCTGGCTTGGACATGGCATCACACTTTGAGCTGGGCATCCTTCCACAGCAAGGCCCCTGTTGAACTGGCAGCCATCCGAGGGTTTGCTCCTGGGACTGCAATTGAGAGCTCCTGTGTGTCACGGTTCGCTTGGGAATCTTGGAATGTCATGGAATGGCAATCAGTTGTTAACGGCGTGGCATGCATTGGTTCATTGTATAGTGAAAAAGACGTTTGGATAGCCTAAGGCCTACCTAGGCGCAAAACCTGGTAGAAGCTTAGAAGCTAAACTTCCAAGAGCAGACTTCGGCGAGCGGCGGCGGAGCTGATCCGGCCGAGGTGCTTGGCTTGCAAAAGCATCCTTCAGACCCAGCTGACTCCTTCTCTTCTATTTTGGTACGGCACTCAGCCCATCTCAGCCCACCAGTCTGTCAATCATCATGGATGAAATTGTGGAGCCTACTTTGAATAGGCACTCAACATGAGCCAGCATGTCGGACGGCGGCGTCCCGGAGAGACAGGCAAGCTGTTCCATTGCCAAGCAGCTGAAACCAAGCGCATTTGAATGAAGGGGACTTGAGCTCCAACGTTTGCGTTTGTGCGTGAGAGGTGCTGGTGGTCATGTGATATGGCGACGTCAGCGAACGGCCGTTCGAGACTGGGCTGTGCTCACCTTGGCTACCCCGCTAGATTTCTCTTGGCACAAAAGCAGAGCACAGGTGGCATACAAGTCGGCTGGGTTTTCGAGTGTCAGAGCTTCAATCTATCCAAGTGTGACCTGATCTATCTCCAGGTACAAAGGAAGCAGCACGGAGACTTGATCGCTTTGCTATCGGCAGATGGGAAAGAAGTTGAGATCTTGGAAGTCCTGATGCAGGCTGGGCATGGCGAGGGCAAAGCCACGGCAGTTCAACTCCATGAAGCTTAGAATAGAGCAAGAAGGGTAAGGGAAACCAGGCTTAATTTCTGCGTTATGATGGGAGCATTTTGCCAGCTGTTGTGCAGGTGTACACACCACCACCTGCTAGCGATCCATTCTCCAACTTCAAGCTTCCAGTCATGGCTTGTGCAGTTCTTCTGCTTCTAGGCTAGTGGGCCGAGGGGTTGGAGGCGGAGGGACTGCAAAAGCATTAAATGGCGCAAAGTAACCGATGTCGTCAGATGGCAGTCGGTGACTCTTTGAGACATGGTTCCAATTCTATTACTGCCATAATATGTGTATTTTTGCAACACTTTGTAGCAAGAAATGCTCGGGTTGGATTGCCAGAATGGCCTTAATTCCACCCAGTTTGACTCCAATTGGAACCAAACAAGAAGCGCGAAGCCCACCAGGCTACCAGTTCATGAAGCAAAAGAAAGGAGGCCGACGCTGTTGCTTGTGTGAGGGCTTACGCTGCAGTGGTTGGCTTGGGCATTTTCTCATCAGGATCAGCTGGCCTTGGCGGTATGGGAAACAGAGGGAAGTTTGGCAAAAGTGATTTTGCCAGCCCCGTGCTCAGAATTTTCTCGTCCCAGAAGGCTTGGATATGAATCACTTTCCGCTGCTGATTCTGTAGGCTTGCTTAATAAGAAAAAAATGGGCGGCATGGGCGGCATGGGCGGCCTCGGTGGCCTCAAAGGCAAGAGGCAGGACGAAATCCTTTGGCGTCAGCACTTTAGAATCCAAAATTTGTCATCAGTGGTGAATCACCAGTACTAGCACGTGGTACACCCTGATTTTCTGCAAGGAAACCAGTCACAGTATAAGCAAAAGGATTGATGAGAGTCTTCTACCTGTGAAGGTAAAAGGGCCACCGCGTTCCAGCAGGGAGAGGCAGGACCTCCTATGCAATCTTATGCGCATGTAAATGCAAAAACTTAGCCCCAGAATGCCAGCAGCTTGTCTGGGGCCTAGCAGGTCAATCCACTGAAGACTCAGGAGCTGTGGCACATTGTTTTCATCCTTTGCCCTAGACGCATTCATTGCTTGTTCGAATTCTTCCATGGGTGGGGTGCCCTGCGTGATATTTGAGCGATGCTGGGTGGGGGTGTTAACTGCCCAAGGCCTTCAAAATGCATCGTTGGATTGGCCACGATCGGGCCAATGTGCCTGCATGCAACTGCCCTGGTCGCATGTTTGCAGTACAATTCGGGCTGTTCATCAGCTGGTCCTCTGTCGGCTGGGAATGGCACCAGCAAAGCTAAAGTCAAACAGCCGAAAAAAAGTGTTGGCATGCCGGCAGCTCCAGCTATGCCTTGGCCATCCTTGATCCAGATCCAGCTACGATATAGTGAGAGTTGTGGAGGACACTGGGAAAGCTGATGACTTCCTTGGCTATGTAGAGCTCAACTTCGATCAGATACACATAGGCTAGGCGGGCTTGCTGTTTGGCGGTGTGACAAAAGGTTGACAACACACTTTCAAGCCCTTGCTGCAGTGCCTGCAAGGGTCCCCGTGGCCAGGGTCTAAAAATTGTGACATGTATTATATATATATTATAGGCAATTTATATCGATTTATAGCAATTCTGCCAGCTTTGTTGTTTTTTTGCTTCTTGTGCAGGCTATGAAGGTGAATTAGCATTGAAAGACGCATCAGACACAGCAGCGAAACAGGAGGCGTACATCAAGGCCGCAGTGCAGATTGAATGCAGGTTTACAATTTGTTGTGTTACTATATATATATATAGTATAATTATTACATAATATAATATATATATATACTGATATACTGTATATATGTATATGTGTGTGTATATTACATATTAGATATATAGCACCCAGCGAATGACTTGACCCATTGATCAATACACATCAACGCATTGATTGAGTCTTGTTGAATCTTATATAACTGGCCTGAGACAGTCTCATATATTGAGTCTTATTGAGTCTTATCGAGTCTTATTGAGATGAACGTGTCTTCGATTTTCTTCCCGCAAGCCGCGCCAGGTGCGAGTAAGAAACTTGGGCGCCTGCGTGCCAAAGTGAGCAAAGTGAGCGTGCAGCCGCAGGGCTTCACGGACCACTTTTTCCTGTTTCCATTTGGCCCCAAGATGCCCCTGGCGTAACTCGAGGCCCAAGTCTTGCTGACGTGTGAGTTGATTCAATTCATACCATCATTTGTTTGCCCGTTTGTAGAAAACTCTTGCACGCTTTTTAACTTTTAACTTGTTTAACATATTCAACGACTTATACAGTGTTTACAGCTTATACATATGTATACTGTACCGCTCATTTTCCTAATTGTACCCGTACTTGGCACCTTTTCAGTTCATTAATGCGTCGGGGTCGGATTCACGGCTGACAGCCAAAGAAATCAGCAAGCTTGATGCTTCTCAGGAAGCAATGCGATGGCATCAAAGTAGAGCCAAGTTTCTATTGGCCGTAGTCGAAATGTTTGGAGAGCTGGAAGATAGCCAGCCCCAAAAGCCACCGAGAAATCAAATGAGAGGACAGATGAGTCAATTACACGTTATAAAACTAAATGCCAGCCCTATACGGACTTTGATTAAACAGTGGTTCAAACTGGAAAGGAGTATGCGGTATCTGGATGTACCTGGGGATTTGTGAACGGGTGATCCCGACAGACAGCCTGTGTGGTACCAAACCCAGGTCAGCCAAAGGCGGGACATTCAATAAGATCAACGGAAAAAGATGGAAAAAGAGGTCATCATGGGTCATCCCATTTTGTTGGCTTGTGTTTAAGCAGTTTAAGCACATACACACCCAATCACGTCCTGGTATCAGTGCCACTGATCAATGCGTTGTGCAACAGAGATTGTCATCTACCATATTTTCAATGGCTATAAAGCAGCATGGAAGCTTCCAGTCTCGCAACCCCAGATGATGGTTTTGCAGCCTGATCTCATGGTGGAAGAGTCGCAGAACCACTTTGGCAAGTCACAGACTTGTGCAAAACCAAGTTGCAAACTAGCGGCCCTGTCTCACAATATCACGAGTCAGCTAGCAATGCAGCTGAGAAAAGAATGTTTGGCGATTTTGCGAGCATTTAGAGTAGACTCAAGTTGGGCACTGCCACTGCAGATGGCCGTCAAGGGTTGAGCGCAACTTCTTGGCTCCAAGGGTAGTTTATGTTAGGTGGAGACCCCCAATTTTTCGCACTGCAGTTAAGTTTCCTGAACAAACTTCAACAAACTCAAAGCATAGATTTGCCTGTCTGCCTGCCACTGAAGGTGCTAGTCACGAAGCTTCCTGCTGTCAGACTTATATAGCTAGACATTTGCATCAAGGGCTCACTGCATGGAATGCCACATGGAAACAGGAAAGCTAAACAGTGGGTGCCTCAAGCCTCAAGTTCAGTCGTGCTGGGCAGGATCTTCAGTCACCTGCTCCAGTGAGAGATTGTCAGAGATAAAGGGCGCGAGGTAAATGCGCTGTAAACGAGAGACCTTTTTATGAAACTCGTGCCTGGTTGGAACTTGGAGGGATCCAAAGAAGAAGCGCGATCGGCACCTGAAGCGGGCAGCTGCAAAGAATGGATTCTTGGTGTGGAAGATGCCAGATGCAAGGAATATGCGAAACGGCCTGTTGCAATTTCGCACTCCCCAGTGACTGAGGTGAACAAACTTCCAGAAGAGAAAGGTTGCGGCTCAGCGACGGCGTCATTCCGCGCCTTGTTGAAAGTGGTTGGTCGGAGCTCCCTTTGGAGTACTGTGACCGAACCATCTACTGTAGTTGATCTAACTGACAAGGGTTAGGTTTGACGAGCTGGCTAGCACCAAGACAACGAAACGTCAATTGGCTTTTGCGATCATTGCGAGAGCTGCTCAAACAATCCAGGCGCGATGAAAATACTATTCATCTGGCCCAGCTCCCAAAAGCAGTGTCAAAGTTGCTAGACTGCACTGGCTGACCACTTTGCGGATGCTTTTCATACGAAAGAAGAGGTACCAGAATTTAACTCGACACACCCGAGGCACGATGTGAAAGCCATGCTTGAGCTGGCCTTCGGCAAAGCAGCTCCTCTGGACTTTCCCATAGTTTGCAAGAGGCTTTTGTCAAAAAGCGCATTACTTGACTGTGAGGTCACCCATGTGCACCTGGACCGTACTCTGAAGTTTGGCTTTGCCCGATTTGAAGAAGAGAAAAGTAGCTGCTTTTGCACTTAAAACTGTCAGATGTTGACACTCGTGCAGAGTGGGTGCTGGAAAGGCTCCTTTGCACCCACACATTTTAAGGCAAGTCTGCTGCAATCCAGATGGGCACCGTAGAGTTTCTCGATGAAAGAGTAGAGATGCGCTGTGGAAGAAAAGCCTGTTCCTCAGAGAGAGAGAGAGAGAGTCAAATGATATCGAGATAATTTGCTTGCAACATCTTTGTAGGGCAGAACCTGCTCATGCTTTCACTACGCGCTGCAGTGCCCAGTGATGTCGCCTAAAGTACCCAATCATCAATCCACAAGAGACAGGTTTCCAAAATGCCAAGGGTATCCAAAGGTATCCGAAGGTTATGTGAAATATAGAGTATACATAGATGTCCTGTGGCAACTTCAGCTAAGGGCCGTAAGGAGAAACCAGAGACTGCTCCCGAGCCACATCCAGATGACAAGAAAGATGACAACAGCGACCTTGCAAGAGAGGCCCGCCAGCTGACTCAAGATAAGTGTTAGGACTCGCGTTCAAATGCATGCGGATTTTCTTGATGTAGCAAAGGCATACATTTTTCTTTTGTAGAAGGATTGGCTTAATTGTGACTTCACTTGACACCTTCAAACCTGTGAGAAATGTCATGCAGCAACGCTCACGACGAAAGGCAGCTGAAAACGCGGGCAGATCAACAGCCACTACATCCACCGGTGATGAGGCAAGACAGGAGAGATGCACACACACACAATAATACATACATTACATTGCATTGCATTGCATTAAATGCTTCATACCTGTGTGAGTTTGAGATCATTTAGATCCTTACACCATGTTCCTTGGCGTGTGGCTTTGGTTCAAACTACCCTGACTTAGGGCCCTTGAGCTGTTGGTTGCAAAAACGGTCCCTAGCGCAATTCAAACTGGTAGCGGAGCTGGTTGCCGGAGAGTTCACTCCCGCCATCCGGACTCTCACGGTGATAGCCTAGGTCCGAAACTGTGTGTGCTTGTTGTGTGTAAGTGTGTAACGTAGAAACATCCTGAAGAATCGCTGAAATCCCATCGAACGCCATGTCGATGGCCGGCCTGAGGTACTGCCCGAGCAGTCCTACAGGACCGTTGGAAACGAAAAGTGGAGCCTACGTGTATAGTGGAGACCCGTCCCATTTTCACGAATGGCAATTCAGAACCCTTCTTCGTGTAGAACTCTGCAAAAAGAAGATGGAGCAGAAGGCCAAGGAAAAGGCCAAGGAAGCATCCAGTTCCCCGGCCAACCCTGCAAGCAGTGGCCGGAGGAGACGTCAGCCGACAGATGCGGCAAGACAAGAGGATGCCGGAGGAGTGCGAAGCTGCTGCTGAAGTGTCGCCCCAAGCCCCATCAGGATCAGGTGAACATGAGGTTGGCGGTTTTGCCTCGCCTCACAGTGCTACACCCCGTAGCCAGCGTGATGAAGAAGACTTTGTTGATGTTTCTCCTTATGTGGAGCTTGTCACAAAGGTCATGGAAGGGCCCAGGGGGGATGCATTTCTCATGTGCCAAGATTTGGGTCTGAAGGCATTGATGGATGTTGGCCCTCCTACCGGAGTGGAATTGCTGGTGGAGAGAATCAAGGAGCATGTGTTCCCTTTGAGGTCATGACGATATCCACCCAAATGCGGGCTGAGCTTCTCCTTGAGACATCAGGCCTCACCCGACAGGAACAACTCATGGTCAAGAGTCAAGACTGCCTGCCCAAAGCCCAGCTTTGAGGGATACAGTGAGATCTTGTTGGAACACCATGGAAGGAGCCACTTGAGGGATTCAAGGAATCTGGCCCCTCCTTCAAGGCCCTTTCCAGTGAAAGGAGCAGGGAAGAACAAAGGAAGGGGATGGCATCGATCGGGCTACATTGCAGGTGAGTTTGATGGTCATGCTGGAGATGAAGCAGCAGGTGATGGAGACAACTACGACTGGAACGAGGACTACGGTGAAGGAGCCTATGTTGGGTATGGTGATGAGCCCAGTACAGAAGACCCAGATGATTGTGACTGGATATCAGATGAAGATCTTGGCATTGCACTGACAGCCATGGCTTGAAGAACTTGGAGAGGCTTGCCAACACCAGTTGCAGGCCTATGCAGCTGTGGAACGTGCCAAGGGAAAAGGACCTTACAAGGGATCAGGGAAAGGCAAAGACAAAGGCAAGGGGAAGGGCAAGAGGGTTGTGAAGAACCAATTGTCCATCCAAGACAGGAAAGTCAGACTTGCCAGTCTGAAGAAAAACAGTTGTTGCCTACGCTGTGGGGGTTCACGTGTGCCCAGAATGCCTGCCTTTCGTGCCAGGAGGGAAGATCCAATGGGTGACAAGACTTTGCCCCCTGGAAGTGACCATGTTTTCACGTTTGGGCAGCTACCATGAAGTGTTGCAACAATACCCTGGGTACTATGTTTGGGAACGAAACGAACCTGGAACGTCAAGAATCCTGAATCAGTTTCTGGATTGGGTCGACATGTACTATGATGTTGATCATGGAACCCACCAGGTTAGCCCCAAGCTAGCTCCAGAGGAAGTTCAGCCAAGACCTGCCCCGGTGCCAGGATCGAGACACAAGACTGCCACGAAGAAGCTTCCCAATCCCCCTGTTGAGATTTCTGATCATGTTTGCAAGGATTTTAGCTTGCTGGGATCCAATGCATATGTCATGCGCAAGACATGCAGGGATTGTGGAAGAGTCACTCAGGCACCAAAGAATCCAACATACACCCAAGATCCCGAGACATGCAACCATGCAGTTACCGACAAAAGGGGATCAACCAAGAGCACCAGCAGAACATTTTGCCTGCTGTGTGGAACTCATGTGGACGAGATGCCACGTGATGAGGGACAGCGCAGGGAAGCCTTGGGAAGGGCTGTGAGTCAGTCTGCTGCACCCTTGGTAGATCTGGCAGAAGACCTGTTGAAATATGAAAGGTTGGAATTGCTTTTGAGATCCCCCATGTATAGCTCACTATAAAGTGGACATCCTTTGTGCGCTTATAAAGTGGGTTTCCGGTCGCCACTTTATATACCGACAATGGGGGGTAAAGCCGTGTTTTGCGCGAGAAACATGCCCTTGGACCTGGAAGATGACTTTATAGCAACGTTGGCTTTCCAGTTTATACCCGGCTGGTTCCCCACAAGGAAACGACTCAATATATGCGGCAATGCATTTTATAGACCGTTGGTTCCCTTCAAAGAATGGCCATAATATGTCACACCATCCACTTTATAGAAACATGTCTCCCCAATGATTTCGGGCCAATATCTTTCTGTTGGGGCTGTATACATGGCAAAGCACTTTATAGAGTGAAACTTGCCCTTTAAGAAGAAGAATTTGTGCTGCATCCAGGGCACTTTATAGAAAGAAAATTGCGGCAGAGCATTTTATAGAGTCATGAGATACATCACCCAAATCACTTTATAGAGCTGCCCAGGACCCCATTCACCCTGAGGACCCCTTTCAAGGGAAATCTTCTTCTCTATAAAGTGGCCAGTCCAGGTAAAACCCCTGAAAAAACAGAATCTATGTTGGACTGGCCACTTTATACCCCCTCCCCAAACAGAGAATGCCTCTATAAAGTGGCCAGTCCAGGTAAAACCCCTGAAAAAACAGAATCTATGTTGGACTGGCCACTTTATACCCCCTCCCCCAACAGAGAATGCCTCTATAAAGTGGCCAGTCCAGGTAAAACCCCTGAAAAAACAGAATCTATGTTGGACTGGCCACTTTATACCCCCTCCCCCAACAGAGAATGCCTCTATAAAGTGGCCAGTCCAGGTAAAACCCCTGAAAAAACAGAATCTATGTTGGACTGGCCACTTTATACCCCCTCCCCCAACAGAGAATGCCTCTATAAAGTGGCCAGTCCAGGTAAAACCCTGAAAAAACAGAATCTATGTTGGACTGGCCACTTTATACCCCCTCCCCCAACAGAGAATGCCTCTATAAAGTGGCCAGTCCAAGTAAAACCCCTGAAAAAACAGAATCTATGTTGGACTGGCCACTTTATACCCCCTCCCCCAACAGAGAATGCCTCTATAAAGTGGCCAGTCCAGGTAAAACCCCTGAAAAAACACATTTTTACCTGGAATGGCCACTTTATACCCCAGCCAGTGGGCTCCAGGACTTTGACCCGGAAACGGAAGGACTGACAACAAGGTAAAGGGGGAAAACTACAACGGAGAGGTACAACGGGAAGGCTACCACAAGAAAATGAGACATGTCACGTTTATATACGTTTATTGTTTTCAATGTGTCATATAGATTGGCGATGATTGGTATATTGAATATGTTGTAGATGTATTTTGGAACATATGTATACCTATGATTCACACATCAATATAAATATATATAAATCATAAACACATGCCAAACCAAAAACTTTTAGCTGAGTATTGTATTCCCAATCTGTTGGCAAATGTCCAGCCGATTCACCATGCGTGACCCAACAAGATTCAAACTATGGATTGTTTACTTTTGAAAAAAAATACTGGGTGAATCTACGTATACCTATGACGACAATCTCCCAAAATCATCCTAAAAATCTATGGACATCTATGGACCAAAACCACGGCCACATGCCCATCCTCTATAAAATGGTTTGCAAGAAAGTTCAGCTCTATAAAGTGGCTTGATCACGTCATTTCTGGCAGCCCCACCCTCTGTATAAACTGGCCGGTCCATGCCCAACCTTCTTATAAAATTGTTTGCAAGAACCAGTAAAAAAATATTTTCGAAAGTAAACAATCCATAGTTTTGAATCTTGTTGGGTCACGCATGGTGAATCGGCTGGACATTTGCCAACAGATTGGGAATACAATACTCAGCTAAAAGTTTTTGGTTTGGCATGTGTTTATGATTTATATATATTTATATTGATGCGTGAATCATAGGTATAATACATATGTGCCAAAATACATCTACAACATATTCAATATACCAATCATCGCCAATCTATATGACACATTGAAAACAATAAACGTATATAAACGTGACATGTCTCATTTTCTTGTGGTAGCCTTCCCGTTGTACCTCTCCGTTGTAGTTTTCCCCCTTTACCTTGTTGTCAGTCCTTCCGTTTCCGGGTCAAAGTCCTGGAGCCCACTGGCTGGGGTATAAAGTGGCCATTCCAGGTAAAAATGTATTTTTTCAGGGGTTTTACCTGGACTGGCCACTTTATAGAGGCATTCTCTGTTGGGGGAGGGGGTATAAAGTGGCCAGTCCAACATAGATTCTGTTTTTTCAGGGGTTTTACTTGGACTGGCCACTTTATAGAGGCATTCTCTGCTGGGGGAGGGGGTATAAAGTGGCCATTCCAGGTAAAAATGTGTTTTTTCAGGGGCTTTACCTGGACTGGCCACTTTATAGAGGCATTCTCTGTTGGGGGAAGGGGTATAAAGTGGCCAGTCCAACATAGATTCTGTTTTTTCAGGGGTTTTACCTGGACTGGCCACTTTATAGAAGAAGATTTCCCTTGAAAAATTCCTCAGGGTGAATGGGGTCCTGGGCGCGCCGCGCGCGCCAAAAAGGTTTCAAAATTGGAGCCATTTTGGCGCGCGCGCGCGCCCGCGCGGCGCGACCAGGACCCCTTTCACCCCAAGGACCCCTTTCAAAGGAAAGTGTGTTAGAGGCATTTTCTGTTGGGGGAGGGGATATAAAGTGGCCAGTCCAACATAGATTTTGTTTTACCATAGATTCTGTTAACGACTTCGATATAGATATTTGTTTGGCTGT